TGATGCCCGGGGGTGTTTGGGTTGGAAGTAAGAGTCCTATGTTGTGTGGGTCGGCTATGGACGTTGGGAGACATTCAACTTTCGTGATCGATAGGGGAAAACGTCGGACAATAATCGCCATGGGTATGACTCTAGTGTCAGTGCGTTTGGTGCGGCTTCGAGGGCGAAGCCTTCCGAACCGGAGGAGAATGACGAGGATAATTTTATTATTATTATTACTATTATTATTATTATTAGTTAGCTTAGAGAATAAGGTAGGGTTTAGTTTAGGAGTCTTATTTAAAGGACACTTGTGCTTTGTTATTAGAGGAGTTGGTTTTGAATAAGAAAATGAAATAAGATTGAGTTTTGCGTGTTTTACGAGAGAGTATCTCGTTTACTCGTTTATCTTTCCCACTCGTACGCATTCCCCTACATCAGGAACACACCACCATGAGATCAATGACTTTGTTGATAAGTTTGGAAAGATCTTTGCCATTAAAGATCTTGGAGAGATGGAGCATTTTCTTGGCCTGCAGGTTAAAAGAATTGATGAGGGATTGTTCTTGAGTCAAGCAGGCTATGTGAAAGACCTGCTTAAGAAAGTAAAGATGCAAGATGCTAAGCCTCTGCCCATTCCTATGATTTCTTCACCTCAACTTTCCAGGCATGAAGGATACCCTATAGTTGATGGAACATTGTACAGAAGTGTAGTGGGTGCACTTCAATATGTCACCATTACAAGGCCAGAATTTAGCTAGTCAGTGAACAAGGTAAGTCAATACATGGCTTCTCCTTTAGACACTCATTGGAAAGCAGTGAAAAGGATAATGAGATACTTGGCTGGAACATTGGATTTTGGGTTGCAAATCAGAAAGTCATCACATGGTAATGTGGTTTCCTTCTCAGATTCTGACTGGGGGTTGATATAGATGATAGAAGGTCAGTGACATTGTGTTTTCTTGGGGAGTAGCTTAATATCTTGGTCATCAAAGAAGCAATTCTTGGTTTCTAGATCAAGCACAGAATCAGAGTATAAGAGTTTGGCTCATGCAACATCAGAAGTAATGTGGATCAAGTCTTTACTCACAGAAATAGGCTTGAGGTTGAAGAAGAGTCCTGTGATATGGGTTGACAACCAAAGTACAGTTTTTCTTGCTTCAAACCCAATCATGCATGGAAAAACTAAGGCATGTAGAGTTGGATTATCACTTTGTCAGGGAGAAGATATAGCAAAGGTTTAATACAAGTTCACCATATACCCTCATTAGAACAGATTGCAGATGAGTTCACAAAACCTCTCTCAAAGCAATTCTTCTCTCAGCTTAGAAGTAAACTTGATGTAATGTCAAAGTCCTCGATCGAATTGATGGGGAATGTGAAGAATGCAAATAATTCTGGATTGCCAAACAAGGCTCAACAAAAACAAATGGACACCTCATGCATGAAGACAAATGCAAACTCTGCTTTACCTTGCATGGAGACAAAGTGTGGTCCCTGCTAATGCATTGATTCAGCAGTCTTTTCTATCGCTAGATTAGTTTTGGATAATGTAGGATCCACCATTTCACATATAAATATATGTTAAGAATCAGTTTTCTAGGTTTTCACACTTTGTAAAACATTTTCTAGCCGTCACATCTTTCTTGAGAATGAAGAGAATAATGTTGCATGAAATCTGTGAAGCTTCTATGATGATTATGTTCGATTTCTCTCAGTCTTTTGCCCCCGCTCAAGTAATTTCCTAATTTCGCCCCTGGCTGACACACAACGGCATTTGTATAAATAATAAGATTAATTGTAACCTTATAAAATAAAATTGTGGGTGGCTAAGGAGTAGCAAAAGGTGGTCCAAATAAATAAACTGATAATACAAAAGAATGGGGTGAAAAAAGGTGTTTTTAAAGTATATAGGAGTATTATTGTTTTTCAACAAAGCCACCACTGAATTAATGTGCATGCATTCTCTATATATATATATGCATTGGCCACTTTCAAGGATCATAAAGCAAATAATTGTCTTCAAACCCCCAAAGAGAAATGAATTTTACCATTTTTCAGTAAATATTTGCTCTTGCCCATAAAAAATTCTTTGCCCACCTTCTTCATTTTACATCTCACTATAAACTCAACCAAACAAAAAAAGGGTTTAGATTTGGTGTTTAATGGTGAATATGAAGAGATCAAAATTGGGTTTGCATTTGGTACGGCTCCCCATTCTTCTTCACTTTGTTTCTTTATTTGCAGCTCCATGTGAAGCTGTGGCAGCAAGGCAGTTAAGTTCGTTTCTTCGTTTTTTTTTTTTTTAATTTGTAGTATATACATATATATACATAGAGATGCTACAGTCTTGTTACAGGACCATTCCGTCGTGATTTGTAACCCTTAGAACATCATGCAACCGTCGGGAGATAGTTGATCTAATGGGTACAACCACGACGACGTGATTCCGTAACAGGACCGTTTTTTCACATATATATTATCATTTAATTTGTTTGCCTCTTGTCTTTTTTGTTTCGATGAATATATGCCATGTGCAATAGATACACTTGTTCGGTTGGATTCTGTTAGAATATCAATTGTGAGTTGTCCCACATCGTTTATATATGGAAAATATGTCTAACATATAAGCCTAGTGGACTACTGCTTTCATCAACCAATTAGTTTTGAGATGGAAGCTCAATTGAGTTTCATATGTGTTTTTATAGTGATTAATTGCCAGATGTTATACTTTTTTTTTTTT